CTTCGAAATCCAGTTTCAGTTTCGATTTCTTAATTTCTGTTTGGCTCATTTTTCCATCAATCAGGAATTAGAGTCTCAGAATGCGAAGCTTTCATCTCAACTCTCCAACTGTTGTTGTAATAAGGTAAGTCAATAGCTTTAGATTTATCTTTTTCCTTTAAAAAAATGTGTTCTTGCTACTGTTAGTTGCGAGAGCTGGTAATGAATTGTATTACTTTGTGCTTTATGGTTACTTAAAATTTGTTGTGATACAGACAGAGGATAAATTCAATGAGTTCAGTTTAGAATGTATGAATTCAGTTGTGGAAAGTGAGAGGAAAAAAGATGGAGGTGATAAAACGAGGAAAAAGAAAGCATTAGGAAGAGTGACAGGTTTGTTTATATTCTCTGTTTGCTCATTGATTTTTCAGAGTATCACTTCAATTTATTCATATTGCATAGACCTTGTTTTTGTTTCTGAATCAACTGGAAATGCCCCTTTGCCTTGCTTGGCTAGAAAAAATTGAGAGTAAGTCAGCTATTGGGGTCTATTGTAATGATGTTATGATGTTATCTTACATGCTAGTTTTCATGCCTTGATATACAGGTTACGATTTTGGGACTATGAAACACCACTCAAAGAGATATGTTGCTCTAAAAGTCATGTATTTTGGTCAGAGGTATATAATGTTATAATCTGTTGCATTATTTATGTGATTTATGTCAGCAGAAAAATCCCTCCTCTATGAAAATTTTCCTTTTTAATTCCCAAGCCTTGAAGGTGGAGGAAGAAATACGAATAGCAACTTAAAACTCAAGTGGCAGAGAAAGATTTAAAAGGCTGATAATTCAAGAATCAAATCAATATAATTTACATTGGCTAGATGGGACCAACTGCAGCACTCATCACTATTTCACTTTAACTAGGGAAGTATTCTTTTCTTGGAATGACACCATGGATATGCTTGGATGTGTACTCCTTAGCATACCATTTTGAGAAAGACAAGTTGAGTCAGGGACCAATTGCTAGCTTTATTGTCTACTTTCTTGTTATCTCTCAAGCGCTGACTTAATGATGACAAAAATTTTCTATTCCAAGTACCACACTATTAGGCCCCTCCAATGTTTAATCTTGGTTGGCTGGGTAAAATTGCCATGTCAATTGTAATTTGAATAGATTTCTCTGTCACATTGAAATGGCTGCTTGTATGTTTTGTCTATTTTCTCAATTTTCCATTGTGTCATTAGATTAGAATTATGATGGTACTGGAAAGCAAAATTAATGTGTCTCAATAAGGCAGGTTTTATGGTTTTGCTTCAGAGGCACAAATGGAACCAACCGTTGAGGTATGATAATTGAATATCTTTTTGGAAATTAATTCTTGGGGATTTACAAGTATTAAACATGTTTGAAAATCTAATTTAATTTATAGCTTAGTTGTTTTTGAAATATAGAAGATGAATATACTTCATTTCAATGTTTAATTATCATATACATTTGTGTAATTCTAGTGTCAATGCAGTCTGAAATTTTCAAAGCTCTTGAGAAAACAAGGCTTTTAGTTGGTGACAAGAAGGAATCACAGTACTCGAGATGTGGCAGGACAGACAAGGGGGTTTCATCTGTTGGGCAAGTATGTTGATCATGAAAGAACCTTTTTTATATAATCTATGGATAGTTTTGGCCTTTTGCACATTGTAGAAGCAGAGCTGTCTGTTTTATCAGCTAGTAATCGGTGCTTGATGGTTTTGATAGTTGGGAAATCATGTTCTTTAATTAGTTTTGTTTCTTAGATGAACATGTCTCACTGACTGTATCTTGTTCTTCATCTTGTTTGACTTCATGCACTTAGATTGCTGTGAACCATATTGTTGTAAAATATATAAAAAAAAATTAAGAATCTGAATACATTACTCATTATACCATGTTTAATGTTCTTACAGTTGCATCTGCTTTTATCTGACTCTAATTTCTGGAGCAAAATTTTCCCATATGTTTGAGTATTAAGAATGTCCAATGTGTTGATGCAGGTGATTGCCTTGTTTTTACGTTCAAACCTAAAACAGAATGGTACAAATGGCGTTTCAGGAGAATTAGTTCCAGAGACACATACTGGTGAGTCAAATTGTGCTATCCTGTAATCTTGAGAACTTTGTTAGGAACATTCAGCATTATTAGAAATACTGTCTAAAGATTGGGTTAACCAAAAATACCTCAGTTTCATCATTTTCAACTGACTAAAAGTTTGTGGCTGGTAACCAAACCAATAACTATAAATAAGTTAAGAAGTAAATTATTTTAAGAGCTTCATATTCTTTTGTAGATTAACAATATCTTAACTACAATCTCTCTTACCATTAGATCAGAAGCAAGTGCAAATATGCAATGGTAGATAGAGAATAGAAGAGGCAAGGTAGTAGTAAGATGTAATAGAAATGTTGTTTATGTCATGCTTTTGGTTGAGGCGAGGCTAATAGAACCTTGTGCCATCATCAGGGTCAGTGCATGTGAAATGTAAGATGTTCCACAGTTATACTTGCATGAAATTTATTGGGTTTAATGAAAATAAAAGATAGGTGAAGATTAAGATTGATTACCTTTTTCTCCAAAAAAATAAGATTGATGACTTCAACTGTTTCACATGTTTTGAATATGCCTTATTTCACTTCCATATAAAATGGAAGTTAATTACATTGTCATTTTTGAAGCCATAATTGTTATTTTTTTCAGCTTCAATATAAAATCACATGAAACTTTTGAAGCTGATGTTAATAAAAATTTACTTTTCCATCTTTACTCACACCATGTTTATTCTTTTTGAAATTTTCTCAGACAGAGAAATTGATTATGTGAGAGTTCTGAACCGTGTGCTTCCAAAAGATATACGAATTTTAGGATGGACTTCTGTATCAATTGATTTCAGTGCAAGGTTTTCTATAAGTTCACATCTCTGTATTCTCTACATATTTTATCAAGATGATTATATATGATGTGTCCTGCATCATTGCATATCTTACTACTTTAAAAGGAACATTTATAGCTGATTCATTTGTTTTATTTTGCAGTGGCTAGAATTAGATAATTTTGCCATAGTATGACTTCCTTATCATTTCAAACAATGCTGTTTTGTTTTATATGCAGATTTAGTTGTTTGGCTAGAGAATATAAATACTTCTTTTGGAGAGGAAATCTAAATCTCTCGGTAAGTAGATCTTTCCATGTGGATTTTGATTACTTATGAACCTACTGCAGGCTGCAGGAGCTTAGCAGAAGTATGGGGGCTTTATAACTTCCTTTTTGTTGATATGTTTCCAGGCTATGGAGTGTGCAGGTAAAAAATTTATTGGAGAACATGACTTCAGAAACTTCTGTAAGATGGATGCAGCAAATGTACACAACTATAGGCGGCATATCACATCATTTGAAATTTTTTCTTACGATATGAGGTTGGCATCTGCTGAAATATTTTGGCTTACTTTTCTTTTGGGTTTGTTTGTAGCCACTTTTTTTGATTGATGAAAGTGATTCATTTGCTTGTAGTATATTTTCTCAACATATAGTACTAGCTTAAATGTATTGGAAGCAGAGTTACATATTTTCTAAACATATATTACCAGCTGACATGTTTTGGGAGTAAAGTTATCTTCTTATTATTGACCCTTTTTTTCATGTTCAAACAAAATGGCATTTGCCATAACAAGCTAGGAGATCCTAGTCTCAAAAAACCAATAGATGAGTGATCAAATTCAGAGCTGGTAGCCATTCTACTTCTAATCTTTCTCTTCTAATTTTTCATTTCACACTAGAAGATCTACATCAGTACTGTATTTATTGAGTGTTATCCTTTTCATGAATGTTAGGGAAATCAGGCTGTAAACTTTTATTTATGGTACTATTATGAGTCACAATTTACCTGCATTCAAGGAAAGAGCTGTACTTAAAACACACTGTTCACATCTCATAATTCATTCCCCTGGAGTTGCTTCTTAAATTGTGCCTCCCACAGTTTGAGTTTCTTTTCTTTATAACAGATTTGGGTTCCAGATTCCTTTTAATCTAACCCAAAAATTCATCAATGACATCTGCTTATTAGAATATATGCAGAAATTTATAGGGTCCTACTCTCTTTGCAGGTTTGAAGGAAATGAGCTTTGTGTAATCAAAATAGAAGGTAGTGCCTTCTTATGGCACCAAGTCCGGTGCATGGTTGCTGTACTATTTATGATTGGAGAAGGCCTTGAATCCATTGATGTATGTTCCAGTTGTCTTCATTGTTTTTTTTTTTTTTGTTTTGTATGCCTTGTTAACTTTATACTTGCTATGTTGCTGAACAAATTGAACAGACTTAAGAATTGAACCTTCTTTTTTTTTTTCTTCTTTAATTTTTTTTTTTTATTCTTATTGTTGCTTTAATGTTTTGAAACTCTTTATTGGGCACCATCCATTAACATTCCCTGTCTACATAATAGCAAACTGAAAGTTAGATGGTTATGATAACTTTTCACTGCAGTTTTAAGGAAGGGGTTAGGAGGAGGTAAGGACCTTAAAATACTGTCATTATTCTTGATGATTACTCTTCTAGATGAACTGGAGTTTTCTTATCTATTGATCAGTCTAGCTTATTGTAATGCCACCACCCCCAAGGACTCACCCTTCTGTTTAAATGTTCCAACATCACAATTGCAAACCTGCACAAACTCCACTACCCATATTGGAGCAAAGTAATATTGATCTTCATGGATACACCTTGTTCCTGCGTTTTGGTATTACACCAAAGGTTGATTTGTTATTATGAATCTCCTAGAGGTAGGGTTCTTGATAGATTTATCAATCTAGATTATCACATCTAGAGTTTGTTTACACTGTTTGCATTAAGTACTTGGTATATGCATTATGTAATGTGTAAACAATTTCAAGGATCACTTTTGAGGCCATTGATGCAGCTTTAAAATAATCTCTAATAACATTTGTGCTGGGATGCTTGGCTTGCTACTCGATTAAGAAATTTTAAGTCTATAATATGAAAGAAATTCTCACCAAGTACATAAATTTGCAGGTTGTAGATGCATTGCTGGATACTGAGAAGACCCCAAGGAAACCTCAGTATGCCATGGCTCCAGAGCTACCACTGGTCCTTCATTCCTGTGAATTTAAAGATGTGAACTTTACTTGTTCAACAGGTGCTTGATTCATGTAGAATGTCATCTTATGTCTAATATGCTTTATTATGTGCCCAAGATTAAAATTTTTCATTAGTTATCTGCTTAGGACTTTGCACCTTTTCTTACCCACCTGCTTGTTTGCTGAACTGGCAGCCATTTTCAGTTGTATTTTTTGAACATTGTGTAAATAGTTTCCTATTGGTTCATGTCTAGATGCTTGGCAGGCACTGTGTACACAATTGGAGAATGAATGTAGAATGTACCAGCTCCAATCTGCAATATTTCGTGATGCTCATCTTAGCTGTTTGACTTTGGCAGAAGGTGCAGGTAACAAGTTTCCTAATGCCAGTTACATCAAACTTTAACCATTTGCTATTTGTCTTTGTCAATCTGTATTGCTGAAACAGCCTTAATTATTCAGAGCAGAGCTCCCTTAATAACGGAAAGTCTAAGAAGCCAGTCTCCCATGTTCCTCTCTTGTCAAGGCCAACTGAACGTATGTGCTACTCTTTCTTGAGCCTTGATGAAATTCTAGGCTTGAAAGACATTGTGCCTAGATGATGAATTTATTGATGCCTTTATATATTTTCAAGTGGGAAGTAGGAGGCATATCATCCATGGTAACCGGTTTGCTAGATGTTGAACTGTTTAAGAGTTCTACTAGTTTTCCTGAGTTTTCTTGCTTTCCACAAATTGAGTGGATCATACTGTTGCAAATGATTGTTAGGTTTTTTTACCCTTATTTCTGTCTTCAAATTTATCAGACATCTTTTTCTATTTTCTCAGCAACACAGCTACTTTCAAATTTAGCAGGAACTATGTTCTATTTTCTAAGCAACATCTACAGATCAATAATGTGTGAGCCTTACTACTTATTTGTTAGGTTTTCCCTTAACCTGCTCCCTTATTTGTTACTCTCAGCATCATATGAAGAACGATGTGCCAAATTGAACTCAGGAAAATGAAAGCAGAAGAAAGCATTTAATGCAAAAGGAGCAGCGGAGGTGACACCGAACACCTTTTTCTTTACAAAAATTTTCCCTCATTCTGTGTAATGTAGCACATAAATCCATGCATGATTCTTTTGTATTTTTATATATTACTAGAGAAAGAATGGTAACCTTATATAAATGAATTATGATGAACTCAGTGAGGGGCACCTATTCACCACTGTCTTAACTTCTATCTGCTGTGTTCTCTGTTCCTCTTATATCATGAGTACTGAATTTTTAATCACCTTAGATCGCAATTTGATTCCCAATCATCATGGCCCAAACCATTAAAAAGGTATAATGAGAAAGGTCCCAGGGCCAGAAGTACCAACCTCTCCTCCTAAGAAAAGTCTGAGGTTTATTTGGCAAAATCCTACTTTTAGCCCCTCATCTTGTTAAGTTTGAAGGTTTTAGTCCCTCACCTTATACTATAACATTTCAACCCCTTACCTTACTAGATTTGTAGGTTTTAGCCCTCTCACCTTATACTAGAACGCTTTTAGCCCCTCACCTATTAAAATTGAAGAGAATAAACCTCAATTTGTAACATTTTGTTAGTTTTATTAGCTGACTGTTAATTTTATTAGTTGACTGTTAATTGATTATTAGTTGTCAAAAATCTTCTTTCAACTAATAGAGTTAATAGAACTAATTTTATAATATTTCGTTAATTCTGTTAATTAGTTATTAATTAACTATTAGTTGATAAAAATTTACTTTCAGTTAATAGAATTAATAGTCAGTCTAAACTAAGGGTTATTTTCTTCAATTTTAATAGGTAAAAGGTTAAAACTTACAAATCTAGTAACGTAAGAGGGTAAAAGTGTTATAGTATAAGGTGAGGGGTTAAAATCTTTAAACTTTGTAAAGTAAGGGGCTAAAAGTGGGTTTTTGCCAGTTTTTTTCATCTCTCTCTTAACCAGCCATTGATTTGTTGATGAAATGATTAGAAGTGGTGGGTCTCGCACAGGCTGTTTTCCCGGAATCATTCAAATAAGTTGTACAGTATTAAACCAACGATTTGTTGGTCTGAATGAAAGAAATCGATTTCTTTTAAGCAAGATTTCGAATTCGAATTTTGTTAATAAAAAGAAAAAAAAAAAGGCTTTGGTAGAGCTTCCCCCCATATGGTGTCTTACTTGGTCTTGTATTAATTAAGGTTTAATGTGATTTTTGTATACTGGCGTTAGTACAAAAAAAAATTGTACACGGTTAATTATTGATATGATGTGCCAAAAATTAAAAATTTTTATACATAGATATTATGATGCTTCACTTAAAATTAAAATTAACAAAAAAAATTTATAATTTATTTTTTCCCTCATTCCTTTTGTTCCCCTTTGTTAAAAAAAATTTCAAACTTTTAAGATATGCTTGGTTGGACACTTCTTCTAAAAAAAGAAAAATTTAGGAAAGTTGATTAAAAGTTCAATCAGATTAACTTAAGGTAAATTAAGGCACAATGTAACTAGTTAAAAAAAATGTAATGGATTTTATTTACAATATAATTAAGGATTAAGCTTTATTAATGATAGAATTTGTAATTAATTTTGTATAAATTTTCATATTAAGTTCATATCTTTTTATATATTTTGAATACAAATATTTTATTTTATTTTAATTTTACATTTTATATTTTATTTTAATTAAATTTGATATAAAAATTTATACATAATTAATTGAAGATACTACATTTAATGAAGTTTAGGGCACAAGTTAAAAAATTCATATAATTAATCATTTTAGAAAATAAAAGATTATATTAATATAGTTGATTATTTCTATTTATAATTAGTTATGTTCACTTTTTTAAAAATATTAAAAGAAACTTAAAAAAAATGATTATAATACATTATATTTTTTTATAACTAATTATATTATTCATCAATTTATGTGTTAAATAAAATTTAAAATCTCAAGCCAAATTGATTGAATTTTTAGTTCAGTTTTTCTTTTTTTTCTTTTTTTTGGAGAAAGTAACTAATCAAACAGGCCTAATAGTTGAAAGAAACAGAAATATTTAGTTTGAATTTCATTGCACTGCACAATTAAAACATGCCTAATAAGGAGCTAGATTACAAAATCAAAAACATTGTAAAGGTTAGCAGTAAGATATTGAATCTCAACCACAATACGTATGGTATGCAAGTCCACCTCTTACGGACGTCAGTTTCTTATGAGAAAAGTTCATAAAATAAAACAAAAAGTTTTGAACCGACCGATTCGGTTCAATAATTTATTTTTTTGATGTTAATTGTATAATGAGAGATTATTTTTTTGTATTATTTATTTTATTTTATTTGTATATCATACAATTTAAATATAAAATTTTTATTTTTAATAAAAAAATTACTACTGAACTATTTAAATTATTAACAATACAATAATTCATCTTAAGTCTTTATCTTTGATTTATTTGGTCAAGAGTTCCACTTTCATCAATTATTCAAAAAATTTCCTGTTTGATATGTGAAAAAAAAGAAAAGAAAAAAAAACACATTTCTGTTACAAAAACAATTTTTTTCCAGAAATTTCTCTCTCTCTCTCTCTTTTTTTTTTTCTGAAGAAGCAAATCAGAAATTTCATTTTTGGTACAGTGTAAACAAAGCAAGGTGAAGGTGGTTCCCGCGAGGGAAACTCGGATCAAACCAAGGCGTCTCTCTTCTTTTTTCATCTTCTCCATCTTCAAATCTGTTTTCTTTCCAGCAAAGAGATAAGGAAGGCGATAGCTTTGTTCCTCGATTGTCGTCTTGAAGAGAGAGAGAGAGAGAGAGAGAGGAAATGGAGGCAGCCATGGGACTGCTTAGAAGAATGCCGCCGAAGCAGACGGACACGGCACTTTCCGCTCTCTTGAGCCTTTTGCCTCAGCACTCCTCCGATCTCCTCTCTCAAGTCGATCAGCCTCTCCAGGTACCGATCTCTGTTTTCTTTAAAGTGGGAAGAAGGAATTTGATCTCTAATGTTGGTAAACCTGATACGATTTCTGCTAGGGTTTTGTCCGCCTAAGCTTGGTAAACGTAGAAGAGTTAAGAATTCAGTTCTTTCAGGAATCGGTTTTGGTTGTGGATTCGCAGAAAAGAAATTTCATTCATTAAATTATTTGTTTAAAACAAATTTTTTTTATATAAACCTACTTAACTTTTCACTTCTGTGCCAAATCAAGCAAATAATAGTCTCTGAGTTGAAGTTGGTATTTTCATAAAGTGCATTTAAGCTTTATCAGTTGCATGTTTAATCTTCCAGAAGGTTGATAGGAACTGCAAGTTCTGTACTTTATTGAGAAAATCTCAACTAAATGCAAGATATTATTAATCTGTTAGAAAAGGACATTTCTGTCTACATAAAACCTGTTTGAGTTCAAATAAAAACAGTGTTGAAATTCTTTGGTAGAAAATGACAACTTGATGGAAAAGACTTTGTTTTAGCTGATGATTGATTCTATATTTCTTTTGCAAGTTTTAATTTTGATTGGGAACATATATACTTCTTGAATATGGATAAATAAGGTTGTAAATTTTCTTCTATTTTTAACTTTAAAATTTTTT